TCAGTGAAATGGCCTTTGTTTGAGGACAAAAGAAAAAAAACAAACAGCAACAAAAACTTAAAAACTTTTAAAAATCAATCAGCTCTAAGACCAATTAACTGAGGATTATCAACAGGGCCTGCATAACAGCCTCCAGCTTCAAGTGGGATAACAGAGGACATTATAGAGACGCCCATGACACAGACAAGCTTACAGTAAATTTCAGTAAGGCAAAATGTAGTATTCATTCCGAAGCCTCTTTAGTTAAGCTGAAAGGTATGCTGAACATCCAAGCAAAGAACATTATAATAGCTATATTTTGCATATATCTTGCTATTAAAAAATAAAAAAGTGATAGCAAAGACATTTATGTAAGTTTTTAAATATACAAAACTACATATCAATGAACTGCAAAACACAGCACAGATTGTAAATATCAGTAGTATCTGTAATTATTCAACACAAATTTGAAATCTAGTTAAGAAAACTTTATTCAGTTGAGATATGAGCATAATCTGTAGTTGTTAAAATAAATCTTACTATGGATCTGTTCTAAAACTTAGAAAATTATACTGGAAATTATAGCTACTGCATCCCTGTAACAGAAATGTTAAACTAAGGTGTGACAAAACTGTGTTCTCCACACCCGGCTCTACTAAAAGTTTTAACTGAAGCAGATAAAATATGCAGCTGTATGTAATTCAGATTCAATCATTTAAACAGATGGATGCCTTACTATTTATTTTCTCTTGTAATTTTTTAAAAGAAAAATACTAAGTTACACATGAAGACATTACACACATTTTTCATGGCAAGCTAGACAAGAAAGCTACTAAATAATTCATAGGTACAATACAATGGAATCAGTGAATTGGAAATAATTTGGAAGTTTCATGCCTTTAGTTTGTCAGATCTCAGTGACAGATTTATATAAAAATATAGAGGACAGCAAACTGTCAACAGATACCCTACAAGTTCTTCATGGCAAACAGTTAGAACTCGTTGGTCTTTGGGAAGCTTAAACCCACTTTAGATTGCCTATGAAACTGATGTTTACATTAGCACATACTAAAAAAACGAATAAAATCTCTATACTGTAATACCTCTACAGAGTAATTATGGTATTTTTGACAGGAAAAAACCTGAAGTATAAAAGGAAGGAAGCTCTCTTATCTTACATTTCCAAGTGTGTAACATTTAGTTCAGCAATAATGTGTTCCAGAATTCCAGAGTAAGAGAAACTAGCACTGAACTCTGGGCATCAATTCAGAATTATTTTCATCTGCTTAATGATTTAAGGGTTTCTACAATTCTGGAGCCCCTCGTGAGCATCTACGATTATGAAGCAGTTACATGTTTAGAACTTACTCAGGAAAGTAAATTCCAAAACACTCAAAAAGGATAATTATTCTAACTGTAGAGAAACTCAAGTCTGAAATACTGTCAGCTGTAACAAGATCATATAGAGAATACTACTTGGAACCTCTTCTCCTTTTTCTTGGCTACTGATGCTGCATGACATACATAGAGTTTTATTTTCCAAGTGGCTTTCATACCTCTATAGACACCAGCTTCACTACTATTCAGATGAAGAAAAGATAGCCTTAAAAAGACCATGACATGCTGTCAAGACAGAACACACACTGAACATGTCAAAAGCGGAAGGGAGGATACATAGCTCTTAATCATCTGTTACTACACAGATTTCTCACTTTGCTTTTCTTCAACCCCTGTAAATGGGATACAAGTAAGTCATAGCTTGTAAAAAAAAATACTGTGGATGTAAAACATGGGAGAAAAGTTTCCATGCCATGCCAGTCAGTAATTGCATAGCTTTGTACTCGTGGTGTATTGTAAGACAAGATATGGGCCTTCAACTCTCAGAGTGATGTTACCATTACTCGGATATTGTAAGAAGTAATTTCCCTCCCCACATTTTTAAATGCAAACATTCTATGCCTGATGGTATGAAGCACTTTTACTTTACAAATAAACTCTCATCTTACAGTAACTCTTCTCTCCCATCCACCCTTGAATATGCAGTCAGTTATGCCATAGTCTTTAACATTGCTGTCTAAATGAAAATGCTGATGCTTTTTAAGTCTGCACAGGAACAATTCAGTTAAACAAGTATGTTTATGGTACATAGGCTGAAACAATTCAGCTTTGTCCTTATAATAAAAAGATCCTGCTCCTGGTATTTTTTTTATACCATTTAAGGGAAACATGCAAGAAAGTGACATTTCTGCAGATGCTTTTCAGAACTGAATCTGAGTTTATGAAATTATACACAGACTAGGATTTTGGATGCTGAAGCACAAACATGTATAAATCTGTAAAAAAAACCATAGTATTTTATGACTGTTTGTTACATAACTTGATTTTTACTGGCTGGTTCTCAAAAAAACCATCATAGTATTTAACTACAGAAGATTTCTAACCACTTCAGACACTGTGAAGAAACAGAACTTAACTCCGTAGTGGGAATGGCAGTGCAAGGGGTCACTTGAATCCATCTCTTATACTGATGTCTCACTTCCTTACAGAATTACTTCTCCAGCACTGCTTTCCAGGATGGAGACTGTAATGGACACTGTACACCTTAGCTCTGTGCCAAGACATTACTGGGAAAGGGGAGAAACGCTTTTCACCGTGAAGCAATACAGGAAGTCTTACTTCCAGTTCACTTTCTCCTCTTACTGCTGGAGCAAAGACAGTGCAAACAGCATCAGATCAAACATTCTGGGCTAGGGCTAAGTAACAAGGACACAAAACCAAGAGTGGGCCAAGAAGAACAAGGTACAAGACTGGCAGTGCAGATCCAGTGGTAACACTGGCAATTAATACCACTTTAATATTACTTTAGGTGTTGAGTACACTCAAAAGTGCTGATATCTAGCAAGGTTGTGCAGTGCTATAGCACAGCCCTTGCATAAAGGCAACTTTATGCTGCAGACACAGTATTGTAAAAGGTGATAGTAATTAGCTGAGCAGTTAAAAAAAATAATTTCTTGTTGCACTATTCCTAGCTACTTATAACTTAACTGAAACCTCAAATTTATTGTACTGCTTCAATTAGCATAATGGCATTTGGATTAAAACTTAAGAACTGTATGAAGAATTAAGGCAGTAACAGAAAGACAATCTTAAAAAATGTCTATATGTCGTGTGACTTTCTTTTGTTTATCTACTAGCGTGCTTCTCTCGTAGTATCATTAGAACCAAAACTACTGTTAGATTTATTGCTATTACAATCCTGTGATATGATTGAGGTTGTACTTCCATAGTATGCTACCGTCTGGACTGGTCCTTATGCTATAATGTTCCACAACCTGACTTCTGCCACCAACTGTTTCTGGGACCAGTAAATTACACATGCAGGATCACCTAAGTTAAAATTAGTTTTCCTTAAGTCCTCTTCTATGATTCACTGCTATTTTTTCCTGGTGTCCTAAACTAATTCAGAGTGAAGAACTACAACATGCTGTGCTAGCACAAGGATGACATCAATGTACTACTGCATGAGATTGGTAAATTGACAATTCCTTAAACTCCTTTACTGCAAAACCCCTACTACTATGCATGTCTAGCCTGATTTGTTAATAGTATCAAAAAGTAAGTATCTGGAGAAGCTGAAAGCACTTGAGTATCATGAGCTTTGTTATATAGTAACACTAACTTTATAACCAATTACTCCACAGTAGATGTTTCTCTCCTTGAGAGATACACAGGTATTAGTTTCCAATCATAGAAGCCAAAAGTATAGTCCACTGCTTCTACCATACTTAAGAGAAGAAATGCAGGTAGCCTGAAAGCTGCTCCAGTTCAAATGCAAGGGGGAAAAAAGAAGGGAGAAAGGAGCACCTGCTTCTCAAAGTTTTAGTAGTAATTTACAAGTATGGAGAAAACAAGGCAGACAGTTATTATTTCAGGCTTTCTGCATTACTACTTGCAAACCTAACCCACTTTAGCTTAATTTTGTCCAACTTTTAACTGAAATTTCATAGACACTTTCAGAGAAAGACATGCTTAAACAGCTTTTGTTAAATTTTATTCTAGTTTTAATCCCTGAGTTTGTCAGCTATGAAAAAAAAATTCAAAATTTCTTGAAGTTATTTTAAAAATTTTGTTCATCTTTTGTTTCTATTTATTGCTTTTAGGCCAATATAGTTTGCAGAAAATCATGCTTTTTGTATTTTATTGCCCCTCCTAAGAATAATAAACTTAATTAACACTTCCCTTAATTAACACTTCTTAATAAACTTAACACTTCCCTTAAAAACAGGATAACATCAACCTTTCCTCAATAATGTACAAACTGCAAGTTATTGTCCCATTACAGTGTGCCTTTATATCTCAGCACACCCTCCTATCCAAGAAGTCTGTACTGATGTCAGCAGTAACACATGGATTAAATGTCTAAACTTGGACTTCCTTTTTTCTTTTAGTAGAACTGAAAAATAGAACTGTATCTATTTTAAATGAGATCATTCTGCCTCCCCATATGCACTCCCAATCAAGTCATCAGAAAGCCTGTATAGTGCATTTGGGTTTTATTATTATTTTTTGCCGATACATTTCTGTTGTCATCTTGTTAAAAACAAAAATGTGGGATGTTTCTGAACCTGAATCCATGAAAATATTCCTTGATCACATGCATGCAACCACCTGCTCCCATCTTTTCAGCTCTTCCTCCACTCCTGGTAGCAAACATCTGAGCAGTCAGAAGGATGGACCACTTTCCCATTTCCCCAGTAGGTATATACCTGGGGGGTAAGAAGGTTAGGAAGAAGGGACTGTGTTTGGCTGATGAAGAAGTGTTCACAGACAGGCTGGAGCACTATACTCACCTGGGGGATGAAGGGCTGGGTTGTTCCTGTCTTGGAGAAGATACCTACCTTACCTGGCTGTAGGTAGTGAAGATGCTTGTGGCAAGCAAGCGCCTGGGGCTGTCAGCGCCCCTTCTCTGTGGGCAGGACTGTGCCCGCTCCTGCCTCTTGCTTAGTGTGAGGGATACTTACCCATCAGGGATAGTATTCTTCTTTACCATGCTGAAAGCAGGAGCAGGCAGAGCAGGAGACAACGGTGAAAGTGGGCACTGCAGCAAAGGAGAGAGAACCGCGCAATTAACACGGTGCTGATCTCTTTCTCCATCAGTGGGCCTTTTCACAGGGCTGACTCTCAAGTAAAATAAACCAACCAGTCAGCTGAGGCTTGAAGCCATCCTGAACGACTTCTGCAGCTTGCAAGCTAGCCCATTTTCTCCACTGCTACAGTATGACAAGAGGGAAAAACAACTCACCTCTCCTCTCCAGGAGATCAAAAGAAACAGAGAGGAGAGGCAGCAGGTTTCTAACTCAAGCAGCAGAGCTACGGGGATGAAGATCTTCTCGGCAGTCCCCTCCGTCCCTCTCTTGTGGCGTGGAGCAGTTTGTTCTGCCCTTGTGCTCCCACAGCTAGAACTCGTCTCAACGAGAGAAAACTCCAGGCAGCTGCAAGAGGCGAGGCCGGCACCTCAGCAAGGGAAGGACCATCACCTGCCCCACTCTAACCTAAACGGGTCCGATCCCGCTCGATCCTGGGCACCGTCAGCGCCCACCGATCTCTGTGGGATCAGGGCAGGGAGGAGAGGGGTGAGGGGAGCTCCCCTGCTCCGCGGAGGGCCCATGTCCGCCGCTCCAGAGAAGACGCTTGAGGCTGGCGTGAGGCTCCCTCCTCAAAGCCGCATAACCCCGCGAACGCAGGGAGCCCCGGGCAGGACCAACTCCGAGGCCGGCTCGGGGCACTCTTAGCAGGAGGCGGCCGAGCTCGGGG